CAACCCAACATCAACCCAACATCAACCCACCATCAGCCCACTGTGGTTTTTTATATTCAAAAAATTTGAAAGTTGACAAGAAATTCAATGTTATCAAAAGCCATTATTGGCAATACCTAAACTTAATCTATAGTCTAAAATATACAAACATAATTTGTGGGATGCAAAATTCAAGTATTTATTGTTTTACATTTTCTTGAGTTTTCCCAGAGTCTACAGTTTCATTTAATAACCTGATTCCTGATTTGGATTCTTTATTTATCCAAACAAACTCAGGATGAGAAGGACATGATGAGCTGTGGTTTCATTCACCGTAGAAATGCACAAATTGGAATAACTGATAATAAATTTAGTAAATGGAAACGACTAATTAAAAAAAAAAAAAAACATTAACCAATTTATTCATGTGTTAATGGAAACACCAGAATTGTAAAATTGAGTGTTTTCGTCATTAGCAGAATATTGAAAAAGTTTTACACACATTTGAATTGGAAATGCAGCTGTAGGCGGTCTGGTTCGTTTCTATTAACTTTTATCGAGTTGCAGACCCAGCAAGTCCCAGAACACACTGAGCGCTAAGCATGTATATGCACCAACATCAGTCTCACTATACACTCAACACTAACCTCTTAAAGTGTCGTTTTGCATATTTTTCATTGTTGAAAATTTTAATTTTGTTCTCAATCAACTTATTTGGTAAAACAAAGGAAAATATTATTTATCTTCTAATCTTTATTTAAATACATGCAGATTTTTGTCTTCCTGATTTTGCAATTTTTTTTGGTCTTTTATATTAAATCTCAAGTAAATAACTCAGAGTGACATTTGACCTGCAGCTTCATCATCGTCTTTTCCTCATCGTATTTCATGATGCTTCTGGTGTAACTACAGATCAATAACTCTGTGGATCCAAGCTACATTCACTGAAGAATAACGGTGCAGAATGATACAGGAGACTATGGAGGATAAATCAGCAGCTATGCACACAGAAATGACAGAAAAGGTCATAACAGAGTTGCGTATGAGATGTTTCCATGTGGAGGGAAGCAAACTGAGAGGGAGGCCTTTAAGGCCAGCGCAGGTAATGACTTTTATCAGGATCCAGATCTAGAACTATAGCTAATTTAAGGCAGAAGCAGGTTTTCACACAGCAGCAAACAAAACAAATTACACAATTGTCATGCTCTGCAGCTCCACTCAGACACAATGAAAAAAAAGGATCATTTTAGCACTCTGAGGGAATTATACAAGCTGCTTTCAGTAAGTGTTAAATTGTCTCTTTGTCATGTTATTGTTTCCCTGATTTGTTCAGTCCATTCTGACTTAACCTCTGCCGTCCTCGTGGGTCACCGCGCTCCGTATTAATACATTTCTGACAGCCGTAAATTCAGCTGGGTTTTGGTCTCACAAACGCCTGATACCTTCAGGGAGAAACGCCAAAAACTGCAACTGCTTCTCATCATGACATATTTAATGCCAAATGACTTTCTCATCTTCTCCCGTTTAAACGGAAGAGCAGACCCGAGCGCAAAGACGCACCGAACATCTCATAGTGGGGAGAAGGATTAGTTCTGGCTAAAAAGGATGAGTGTGAGCCAGTCGAGCAGCCAGGCCACAACAACACAAACGGTTAGCGGTCGACCCTGCATGCAGCGTGTCGCATCTGTCCACAGCAGGAAAGTTCATCCTGAGATTAGTGGAAAGCAGCTGAGAGCTCCGGCGGCTCCCATCAGGTTCTGCTGGCAGGGAGGTTTGTGGCTTCACCCCAAAGGTATAATGTCAAAAATACCTGATGATTTTTATTTTTTATTTTGGCACTAACAGACTCAACGTTGCCTGTGAATTAGTGGGGAGTTTCTGCTGTCACTATGTTATGCCTGCAGAGTTTTGACAAGCAGGAACTGTGTTGTTTGGCAGGTTTAATTTGGGGCACCGGGGTGGATCGCTTCGACGGGTTCACACTGTTTTATGAAAATAAGCAGCAGTGCTGTCACAAAAACAGGACAAAACTGTCTGTTTGGTTTCTACAATCGGTGCTCTGCAGCACCGGCCGACCTGAAAGTCTAAACAGTTTGTGTCCAAGATGTGTGGGGTCTGCAGAGATAACCAGGAAAACATTTCAAAGTGAATTAACTCGAAAATGATCGTTCACCTGCTGCCTTGAAAATACAAACAAAATCAACAAGAAAATAATTTTGGTTTTAACTTTTTGAAATTGATGAACATCAAGTGGATTTAACAACACCTGGTTCAGCCCAAAGCAGGTCCTGGAGGCCCGGCATCCTGCATGTTCTAGTTTTCTCCCTGGTGGCAGTAACAGCCTCCTCAGCATGTCGATGTTCTTCTATTCCTGATGAATAAATCATGGAGGTCCCGGCCCTCCAGGACCGACTTTGGGCATCACTGGTCACGTTGAACAAGGACACATCCTCAGCTGAGCTTCGGCCTCACACACCGCCCCTCCCCCTCTCATCCCCTCTAGACTAGCAGCAGCAGCAGTTAGCAAACACCTGGTGAAGCTCATCATAGGAACGGTTGGAAACGGGATAATGGAGGAGCATGTTGTGATGACCCTGAAGGCAGAGTGTCTCTTTAAGAAGCTCCCAAATTCAAGGTTTCTAATTGAGAAATCTAAATGTTTTTACTTCATGTTTGATAGATTCAGCATTTTTATTAGAACTGAAGGTGACAACACTGATTGTGCTATAAAATAGAACTATGTGTCTGGAAAACATATAATACAGTCCTCTATGAAATGTTAGCTCATTAATGAAAAGATAAAATAACAGCAGCAGCATCGATCAGGATCCTTATGATCAGCTGCATCAGGTAAATCCTTCATTACTGTTTGATGTTGAGTTTCTTTGTAACAAGCAGAGTTTCTAGGAACCCTGAGAAGTCAGTTGACATAAAATAGATTCCTGTGTAATCGTGAAATCACGTAAAACATCCCTGAGAAGTCTACATCCAGTAAATATTGTAAAAGATTAGATGGTCCATCCATCACTTCGGGTAAAAGCACCCCGAGTCCTTCTGTGCATGACGTAAGGTTCTCTGGAGTTGATATAATTGTTCTCAAAATGTTTGCATCCATCCATTTTCCTGACTTATTTATCCTGCTCTCAGGATGGAGGCGCAGGGCAGATCATATCCCACAATGCCTCTGACAAGACGAGGTAAAAACAACCTGGACAATCTGACGGCTTTCTCCAACACGTGCAGACGCAGTCGCTTTCACGCCTCTGGATTATTTATGGTTTCACCTCAGGTGCACAACTTTGGGCTGAGAAAGAAAAGCAGAAACGGCTACCTGTCAAATCAAAGCGCTGAGGATTTGAAGTGTTTAGTCTCCTGGAATAACCTCCACAGTGTTTGGGATCTGTGATCTCCACTCGGAGCGCTCCGAGTCTGAATGACTGCTGCCCTGTTTGTTTTTTCCTCCAGGTCCGGTGGAGCACGTCCAGCTCCTTGCTCCCTTCGTGGTGATCAGAAACAAGGAGGTGAACATCACAGCGGTGGTCCTGCCCAGCCAATCACGCACTGTCACCTACTTCTGGTGGCTTGGCAACAACACAGAGGTAACTCCTCCATGGCAACGCTCAGGCACCGGCTGAGGCTGCATCAAAACAATCAGGCCTAAAAATGCTGATGTTGCATCAGACAAAAAAAACATTTTAATGTGTCAATGTGCAATTTTAATAAAAGTATTTCCAGATGTACTTTAAAACTAAAGGATGCTTCTTTTTAAGACGTATTCTCATTTTTTTATGCATAGTTGAAAATCCTGCTGTACATTTGTATTCTGCCTCTGTTACCCATAAATAAAGTTCTGTCTTCTGTGTGAAGCTTAAAGCAGGCTTAGGCTGTAAAGTGATGAACATTTCTCAAATCAAACATCTGAACTCAGAGAGAAGATGGACAGTAAAAATCTCCCTAAGCTGAACAAGCAGATAATAAATCAGAGAAGCATCCAGGACTCTCCCTTCTTCACGGTTGTTTAAACATAGAGCTTTTCTATGGCAGCCAAAGGCAACATAGTTACTTGATTGTGCTATAAAATGGCACTTTGTGCCTGCAAAATGCATAATATTGCCAGTTCAATTTGTGATCATTTTCACAATTTTGCGTTCCCACAAAACAGTCGGATGCACCAACCTGCTTTATCTCTAACACGCTTAAAATACAACATAGCAGCTGATTGAAGAGCTGTACAAAAATAAAACAACAAAATAAATAAGAACATTTGTAATGTTACATAATGAAAGATGTTAAAGGGGTTTAAGTAATTTTGAAGGCACTGCAGGTTTAAAGGAACATGAGTTTGTGTCTTTACTTTGTCCTTGCAGCCGGTGATAACTTTGGACGGCAGCATCTCATACACCTTCAGGAGTGAAGGAATGCACAGCATCACAGTTCAAGTGGCAGCAGCTAACGCCATCCTGCAGGACACCAAGAGCATCGCGGTCAAAGGTCAGTTAGTGTCTGTAACTCCAGCCAAGAAGAAAACTTTCTGCTCAGGTTGATTTAACGATGACTGTTTCCAAAGATTTCATTAAAGCTCACACATTAATGAAATCTGTCACATTTACAACTGAAAATTCCAGAGTTTGTGTCTTTATTTCATCTGGATAGAAGGGAGTTTCTGTGAGATGCAGCGATTTATTAGCAGCAGACAGATTGGATTGAAACTGGAACATTTTCTAATTATCAGGAAGTTCATTCACTGCACCGGGCCAAAGGGGGGAGTCGGGTGGGGAAGCCTCTTTTTCTCATCAACTGTTAAGTACCTGAGAACTCAATTTGAGCAGAATGGCATTTTGGCGCAGCTGTCTGAGAATAATGGCCTCAGATCGCTGTGAACTAATGGCTGATTCTCCCACATCTTTCCTCCACAGAATTCTTCAAATCTCTGCTTTTATCTTTCTCCCCGAACTTGGACGAGTTCAACCCCGACATACCCGAGTGGAGGCAGGATGTGGGGAGAGTAATTAAGAAGGCTCTGCTACAAGTGAGTGATTTTCATTTTGACTTCCCTTCAGTCCGTCTCTGCCTCTCCGATCCGTCCGCTCTGTCTCGGCTTGCTATTTCACAATTATCTCCCAAACCCCCGTTCCTGCCCAATACTCAGCGATGCGACGAGTGAACACCCTCGGGCCACCCTGCGATTCATCATCAGACAGGTGTGAAGACGCCTCTGCTTTCCTTCTGTCCCTTGATGGCTTCATGATGACTCCAGTTCCTTAATTTCAAAAGTCTCCGATAAAATTATTCCAGAACTTGGGGCACAAGGGTTTTGGTGGAGACCTAAGAGTAACGATTCCTGACACTGACACACATATTGTGTGTGTGTGTGTGTGTGTGTGTGTGTGTGTGTGGGTGGCCTATCATTGTTAAGTGCCTCTCATCTCCCCATTCACAGCTCATGAATAGCTGGATGTATTTGATGGTGGTGCTTGAAGGCATCTTAGCAGCAGATTGAGCATTACAGCAGCAGGTGGAGGTGATGGAGGGAGGAGGCTGATAATGACAGCAGGAGATCTCATGTGCAAACTTGATACCCCAAAAATCACATTCAAGCTTTTCATCCAGCTCCTTTAATTAGCTTGTAACTGACGCAGAGACCGTTTCTCCGTTCAAACAGAAGGTCTCGCTGCTCAAAACTAATTTAGTTTTTGTTATTTTGCTTGAATCTGCTATTTTTGTTTTGTGTGGTCATTCATGCTAGTACTTAAGTTCGACCACAATCAGACCTCTCTGTTAACGACCCCAAAGCGCCGCACATGAGCAGAAGAAGAACATTGACGTAAACAGCAGCGCTCTGTTTCTGGAGGTGACATGGCGGCGCCATCTGTGGATCGATTTGATATTCAGCAATGAGAGTCGACAGTTTTATCACAAAATCACTGCAGAACAAAGGAAGCTGATAAAAAGAAACAACTAATAGTGATGCGTTTGTGGAGCAGAAGTCTGTTTGGATGTGCAGTCAGAACTCAGAGTGGTGGGATTGGGATTGGGATTGGGATTGGGATGTGATCCACTTCTGTGACACAAACTTCTTCAATAATTTCTGAATTCATATTTCTTCTGCTGCAGAATAATGATGCTTGTTTCACATCGTTGATGTCGATGTAAAACAGAGGCGGAACAGAAAGGCGAACTAAAAACATTAGGTTTTTAGAAGCACAATCATTTTGATGTCCTTTTTTTATAACAGACCTGAAAAATGTTTTACTACATTAGCTTTATAGAAATTATATTTAACAATTAAGGAGTTCTGGATTGGTATTTCACGTACAAAAAAAGTGTTTTACTTTTTTTTACTGAGAATAAATTGGAACACAAATAAGTCCACAATGTAAAAGCTGTGCATGCAGGAGTGAACGTCTTGGAGAAACTCCTTCCCTGCACGATGCGCTGTCACATTCCATCATGTCACGTCTCCGTCTTTCTGCTCCTGCACATTGCAGTTCCCACCTACACCTGACTAAGTTCAAAGCACAAAGCGTGTTTGTCTTTTTACAGGTTTCTCATTATGTTGCAGAAACGTGAATGAGAATTCATTGTGTTTGATACAGACAGCATTACTTTTACTCCGCTGGGTTATTTTTATCATTTCACAAGCTGCATGCAGAGTTTTGGAGCGACTGTAAGATACAGTAACATATTTTTTTGGATTATGAAACAAAACAAAAAGTTGCACAGAATGGAATTAAAAAAGTTTTTCATTTTTTAAATTCTCTTCAGATCCTGTATTCAAAATGTTCTGACTGCTGACTTTATTTAAAAGTGATGCTGTACCAGTCTGTCGTAGAGACGAGAGCTGAGCCAAACTACTTTCCTGCCCTCATATCAGGTCATGAGCTTCAGGTAGTGACTGAAAGAACGAGGCTGCAGATACTGGGCTCTCCCTTCGACACAAGGTGATGAGCTCAGCCATCCAAGCTTGTCAGGACGCCTCCCTGGTGACCCAGAGGAAGATCAGGACTCACTGGAGGGACGATGTTTCTTGGCTGAACTGGGAAGGCTGTGGGCTTCCCCAGTTCAGCCTCTTCCCTCTTCTGGGAAGAGGGAAGTTTGGGCTTCCAAGACCCGAAGCCCCAGAATAAATACAAGCTGGATCTGCTGCCCTTAAGACCAGATCTTTTTCAAACACAAGCCGTTTTCACCAAGACAATCCCAGAAGGAGAACAGGCTGCTACCCGGCCTACTCTGGGTCCCGACCCATTCAACCCATCCCATTTTGGAGAGTTGGACTC